ATAGTGGGCTGCCTTCCTCCTCACCACCCCAGACCTGGGATGGCTGCAGATCACTCGCCACCCCACCCCCTCGACCCCCAGGACCTTGGACAGCAGTGGATTAACCTTGCTGGGCTAATAGAGAGACTCAGTAACCACTCATCCACACAGAGCACCTCAGCGGGCTTATGACAGTGTGGTGAGTTTCCCCGTCAAACAGAGGACCTCAGTGGGTAAACAGAAGAAGTAGCGAAGTCCCCACCCCACCCCCAGCTGTGGGACCTTGGCAACTCTGGCAGGAGTGTGGGTGAATCCTTCCTCCACATAGAGAACACCAGGTGGGTTGAGGAGAGCCAATAAGGCCTCTCCCAACCCAAAAGAAATCAAAAGAGCTTACAAGACACCCAATGACACAGTAGGGACCCAGGCAAGGCAAACACTATATCCAGGTAGATCTGGTGGTCTGGAACAACCTGAAGCCATAGTAACAGCAGGAACTAAGGGTTCACTTACATTAATACACCTAGGCTAGTAAGCCTAGGAACAGTATAGGACTCACCCAACAGGCCCTTCAGGAGGAATTCAGGTGACTAGCCTTCCCCTTCATGGGACTCAGCAACTGGACAAACATCAACCACACATTAGGATCCTAAGACATGCCACATACTACAGACAGTTGAGAACAGTAGGATTGAAAGACCAAATATTAGCCCAAAAGGTAAAAATAAAAAAAAAAAGAAAAATTCAATCTCAAATGTCCCATCCATCAGGAACAAATACAGTAGACATTGAATTAGAGGACATTATCATACACCTGAAACTTCTGAAAAAACAGCAAGTGAAATAGAGAAACAAATCCATGAGGACATAGAGGAAATCAGATTAGAAATAATCTCTCACATAAGGACAAAAATGATAATCTTAATAAAGGACTTGCTCAGCATAGCCAGAGAAGACAGATTTTTTTTTAAAAAAAGTACAGGAGCATGGGAAAATGATGGAAATCTTGAAGGAACAATATAGAAAAGTAGAATACATGAAAAAAATTCAAAGAAATATCCAAGAAATAAAAGCTTCTATTGAAAGCTTGAATGAAACTGAGGATAAAATTTCAGACCTTGAGGACAGGATTGCAGCTAATGATCATGAAAGGAAAAAACTTTTAAAAATAACAAGACAGCATGAAATGACAGTTCAATAGCTTCAATATGATGAAAGAGAAACAATATAAAACTCATAGGAATCAATGAAGATGCAGGGATCAATGTATGTAGGGAGCGGCTTCGAATAGCTGCTGCTGCCCTGCCCCTCCTGCCTGAGGGCATTTTGTGTGTCAGCCTACATTTCCCATGATCCTCATGTCTGTATACATTACCCATAATCCTCTCCTGCTTACGTCATATATCTGGATGTGATGATGACCTACCAGATAACACTCTGTGCCCTCTTCCTGCCCCATTGGCCCACCTCCACCCTATATAAGTTGTAGCCATTTTAAAAATAAACGAGACTTGAATGGAATCCGCCAAGTCTCGGGTCTCTCTTTTCTCTTGCCCTGCCCCCATCCCCGATCCCCTCTCCAGGTGAGACCCATAGATTGATCCGCAGGCCGGATCAAGTGGCGACCATGAAGGGACCCCACCTGGCACGAGGGCTAAGGACGCGGGACCGTTCACAGGAGTAAAGCACTGGCCAGCGTGACTGATTCAAGGACCTCGTTCCTGTGATCCGTGCAGACGGCCACCTTACGTCTCGCCTGAATCATGGTAGGTGAACGGCATTAGCATGGGACAAGCACTCAGTGAGCACGAATTGTTCATGACTGGCCTCAGGGAGGCACTCAAGACTAGAGGGATTAAGGTTAAGACAAAGGAACTAATAAAGTACTTTCAGTTTATACATTCAGTGTGTCCATGGTTCCCCCTAGAGGGTACCATTAATTTAAACAGGTGGAATAGAGTAGGAGATGCTCTTAAAGACTATTATGAAGTTTTTGGTCCAAAAAAGGTTCCTGTAACTGCTTTTTCATATTGGACTTTAATCTCTGAGCTGCTGGCACAATGTCACGCAGATCCCCAGGTCGCGGAGATGCTTGCCCAGGGTGAGGCTGCGTTAGCTGCCTCCCGTAGTTGTACTCCGCCACCACTGGTCTTATCTAAGGCACCCAGCCCTCCTGGCTCTGTTGTCCTTGAGATCCCGGAGCCTGTTCAAGATGGCGATGTGCCGCCACTCCCTTTGTCTGGAGGCCACGAGGGTACTCAAAATGGTGTGCACCACCCGATACTCAAAATGGCGCCACCTCCATACTGACTCTGGTGGTGAAAAAAAAAATGGGCCCTGGGGATTTAGCTCAGAGGCATAAGCGCCTGCCTTGCAAGCAGGCAGTCGTGAGTTCCGATCCCCGGTACTGATAAAAAGGAAAAAGACAAAAAAAAAAAAAAAAGAAAAGAAAAAAAAGAAAGAAATGGGAGCTTAGTCACTGGAAAGACCAAGAGGTGATTTGGACTTGGATAGGATCAGGAAGTCCATGGTTTGCGCCCACACCCTGTTGGTTCTTTCCAGGGCTCCGATGTCCCAAACAAAGTCATTTTTACCTTTGTCCCGCAGCAACCGGGGGCGGATCATATTGTAATTCCCCGGGAGAATATTTTTGTGCTTATTGGGGCTGTGAAACAGCTGCAACAGAGTGGCAACCCGCCTTCCCCGATAAACACCTTAAATTGACATGGGGGCCGCCGGGGTGCAGCCTAGGTGACTACCCACCGGCCAGTCAAAGACCCTGTCAGGTTCTAAATGTCACTGTCACCACTCCTGAAGACCCTGGCTGGCTAACAGGACGCATCTGGAGACTTCGAGCTTATGAGTCAGGCAAAGACAAGGGAAATCTTATTCTCATAAAAAGGTTCCCTTACAGATTTCATCCACGCCCATAGGCCCAAATCCTGCTCTAAAGCCAAAATATAATCCAAATCCAAAATACGATCAGTCCAATACAGATCCTGTTATTGCTGTTCAAACAACCACAGTAAGTCACCCAACCATAAGGGTTTCTCAAGCTCTGCTACACCAGACAGATCATGTACCTGCCCCTCAATATTCACATTCTAACCTATTCAGTTTGATTAAAGGAGCATACATGGCTTTAAATCATACCCGATCTGATCTCACCCAATCATGTTGGTTATGTTTGGCTGCTCCTCCCCCATATTATGAAGGAAAGGCCCTCAATTTAACCTTTATCAGTTCTTCTAGCTCATCTGCCTGTGACTGGGACAATCACCACAAGCTGACTCTCCCTGATGTCTCAGGTAGAGGAACTTGTCTTATGGATTCCAGCCATCCACCAGCACTGGCAACACAACTCTGTGCCCAGCTTCATTCCAAATTCAAGCCAAATAATTACCTCATTCCACCCCCAGGAACGTCTTGGGCCTGCAATTTTGGCCTCTCACCCTGTATAGCAACTGCTGTTTTTAACAAGTCTGCAGATTTTTGTGTTCTTGTACAGGTTCTTCCTCGCATAACCTTCCACCCAGGAGACTACTACCTCCAGGCATCGCAGATCAGCTATATATTTAAGAGAGAACCTGTGACACTCACCTTAGCTGTGTTACTAGGATTAGGAGTAGCAACGGGAATAGGGACAGGGACCACGGCTCTAGTATTGGGAAATAAACATCTAGCTCAATTACAGGCAGCAGTGGATCAGGATTTAAAAGAAATAGAAGCATCTGTGACAGCTCTACAGGCGTCCCTGACGTCTCTATCTGAGGTAGTCCTGCAAAATAGAAGAGGATTAGACCTCCTATTTATGAAGGAGGGTGGCTTATGTGCAGCCCTCAAGGAAGAGTGTTGTTTTTATGCTGACCACTCAGGAGTAGTCAAAGAGTCCATGAGTAAACTGAGAGAGAGCCTCAAAGAGAGAGAAAAGGAGCGCATCAGAGCAACCAGCTTCTCCTCCATGTGGGGGAGTCTCTTCTCTTACATTGCCCCCCTCTTGGGACCCCTAGCTGCCTGGCTGTTGCTGCTTATTGTAGGACCTTGTATTTTCCAGAGGATCATGACACTCATTAATAACATTAATAACAAGGTTGACACATTTATGGCAAAGCCCATTCAGGTATATTACCATCGGTTGGAAATGGCAGAACAACAAACTTATCGGGAAAAAACACCCACCGATGGCCCACATGATGCTGTGGCCCAGATGCCCTGAGGCACTGGACAGGCAGTCAGAGACGGGCAACTAGGACACATATGTAATGCCAATCGGCCACCTAAGACAGGTCCAGGACCAACAGCTGTCCTGCAGGCCCATGACGGGTAAGGCTCGATTGGGTTCATATGAGGAGTCCTTGACCCAAGACGGGAGCTGTCCTCCCAGGGCCTGCCATGTTCCAAAAAATATAAATAATAATAAGGGAGGAGATGTAGGGAGCGGCTTCAAATAGCTGCTGCTGCCCTGCCCCTCCCGCCTGAGGGCATTTTGTGTGTCAGCCTACATTTCCCATGATCCTCATGTCTGCCTACATTACCCATAATCCTCTCCTGCTTACGTCATATATCCGGATGTGATGATGACCTATCAGATAGCACTCTGTGCCCTCTTCCTGCCCCATTGGCCCGCCTCCACCCTATATAAGTTGTAGCCATTTTTTTTTTTTTTTTTAGTTGTAGCCATTTTAAAAATAAACGAGACTTGAATGGAATCTGCCAAGTCTCGGGTCTCTCTTTTCTCTTGTCCTGCCCCCATCCCTGATTCCCTCTCCAGGTGAGACCCATAGATTGATCCACAGGCCGGATCAAATGTAAATGACATAGAAAATTATTCACAGAAGTAATAGCAGAAAATTTGTCAAACATGAGGGAAAGAATGCGATAAGCGGGTAAGTGAGGCATAGAGAATGGCAAACAGTCACAACCAAAAGAAACCTACATCCAGACATATAATAAATTAAGATCCCAGGCATACAGCATAAAAGCAAAATACTAAAAGCTGTTAGAGAAAAGACACACCTTACCTATCAAGGAAAGCCCATTAGAATCACAGCAGACTTTTCACGACAAACCCCCAAGTTAAGATGAGCTTGGAATGAGGTATTTCAAGACCTGAAAGAAAACAACTTTAAGCCCAGATTGATATACCCTTCAAAATTTTATTTGAAGTTTAATGGATAAATATGATACTTGCATGACAAAGAACAACTGAAGAAATTCATGTCCACCAAACCAACCCCTAGAAAGAGTACTAAAAGACATACTAGATTAAGACAAAAATGACTACAATTCCCAGAATGACAATAGAAATAAAACACCAAACAGGGCAAGCAGTTAAACAAGGGAGAAAAAAGAAAACCAATGGCAGGAAAATAACATGACAAAGTTGAACCAATCAGTTATATCCATCAATATAAATGGTCTCAATTCACCTATTAAAAGAAATAGGTTGTAAAAACAGAATACAAGATAATCAACAATGGTTACCATAATGCCTCTTGCTACCTTTAAAAGAATTGCCTATATCATTAGGTATAATAAAATTGAACAAAACAGTACAGAACAAGACCAATAAAACCTAAACATTGGAGACATTCAAAAGAAGATAATAGTCAAACCAGAATGAACACCATAGTAAATCTTATTGCATTTCAAAGTAGTTGCCTATACCCTCAAACTTGATACTATCAAACAGAACAGAACAGAATAAAATCAGTCAAAACAAGATAGTGGGTGCAATATAGGGCTTTAAATCAAGTTAACAGGAAATTAAGAAAGTTACTATAATATATCCTGCTAATTTTTTTATTTTTTCCCTTAATTAAAAATAATAATAAATAAATAAATAATTTTTTAAAAGGGGGAGATTGAGATAAAAGAAGACTATTTCCATCCTTTGTTTTGACTGACTGCTTTGTTTTGTCATATTTGGTTTTATTCTCTTCCAAAAAAAAAGTAATAAGAACTATGGGAGTAATAAAACCCAAAATGTGTAAATGTTATTGTAAAAAAGAGAGGAAAAGAAAGTTCTCTAAAGGATACAACTGCAAGTGTGTTTAGGGGTGTAACATAGATGACCATATTACTAAATTTTTATTGGATCACTGAACAGAATTGTTTGCAGTATCACTGTTTGAATGTCCACTTTGTATGCTTTAATCCTGTAACTTGAACAACTATTTCTAAGATGACAATATGTAATCTATTAACTAGTGATTTCTTACTGGTTTTTTTAAAATTCTGTATTACTTGTACCCTTATACTGTTTTGTGGGGGTTTTTTTTTCCTTTAAATAAAATTTTAAAAAAAGAAATAGGTTGACAGAATAGATCAAGAAATAGGATCCCACAATATGCTGTATACAAGAAACACATCTGACTCAAAAGGAAACTCATAGGCTAAAAGTCAAAGAATGGAAAACAATATTCCATACAAGAAGAAGCCAGAAAAAAGCAGGGGTAGCTATTCTATTTGCAGACAATGTGAATTTCAAACCAAGAATGATCAAAAGAAGTAAGAAGGTCACTACATACTTGTCAAGGAAATAATTCAAGAGGAAGATCTCACACATAAACATATATGCACCAAATACAGAAGCACCCAACTATATGAGAAAAATACTAATGGACATGAATAAACCAAATGCACAAGAACATAATTATAACAGAGGAACTTAATACCCCATTGTCACAAAGAGATAGATCAACTAGACAAAAAGTCAGCAAGAAATAACAGAATTGAATTTGTTCACAGGTTCAAACCTGTGAACAAATAGATTTAGTATAGGTTTATAGAGTGTTCCACCCAACAATATCAAAATACACATTCTTCTCAGCTATGCATGGGACATTCTCCAAAATAGACCATATATTAGCACATAGAACATTCTTAAGTAAGCATAAAAGGATTGAAATTATCCCATGCATATTATCTGAACTTAGTGCATTTAAATTGGAAATAAATGGCAAAAGAATTTGTAAAACCAGTATACATGGAAATTAAATAACAACCTCTCGAACAATCAGTGGGTTACAAGTGAAACTAAAGAAATTGAGCAATACCTAAAAAACAATGAAAATGCAGATACAACATGCCAAAACTTGTGTGACACAATGAAAGTGGATCTAAGATGGAAATATATGACAATAAATTGTCACATCAGGAAAACAGAATGAGCATAAATAAACAACCTAATGCTACATTCCAAGCTTCTAGAAAATGAAGGGCAAGTAAAAACCAAATCTCATAGAAGAGAGGAAATTATAAAGATCATAGCAGAAATTAATGCAATTGAGACTAAAAAACAATACAAAGAATTAATGAATCAGAGTTGGTTCTTTGAAAGAATAAACAACATTGATAAGCCCCTAGCCAACCTTATCAAGAAAGAGAAATAAAAAACTCAAATTCATGCAATAAGGAATTAAAAGAGAAATTACTACACATTCCATGGAAATTCAGAAGATCATGAGTACCTGCCTTTCTGAAACGGTACATACATAGGCAGAAAACAGAGAGGAAATGGACAGATTTCTAGAAACAGATGAACTACCAAAGCTCAATCAAGAAGATATGACAATTTTGAATAATCAAATAACAGCTACTGAAATTGAACACGTGATTAAAAACTTACCAACAAAGGAAAGCCCAGATCCTTATGGATTCATAACTGAATTCTACAAGAAATTTAGAGATTTAACACTAATACTCCTCAAACTCCTCAGTGAAACTGAAAGGGAAGTAATCCTCCCTAATTCATTACTGGAGGCAAACATTACTCTGATACCAAAACCAGAGAAAGACTCAACCAAAAAGGAGAACTATAGGCCAATCTCATTAATGAACATTGATGCAAAAATTATTAACAAAATACTGGCAAACAGAAAGCAGCAAGAGATTATACATCGTGACCAAGTGGGATTTATTCTAGGAATGCAGCAATGGTATAACTACACAAATCAATAAATGTAACACACCACATCAGCAGAACCAAAGACAACAATCACATGAGCATCTCAATGGACACACACACACAAAAGCTTTTGATAAAGTCCAACACTTGCTCATGATAAAAATCCTACAGAAACTCAGAACAGATGGTATCTACATGAATCTGATAAAGGCCATTTATGACAAACCAAGAGCCAACATTATACTAAATGGACAAAAAGTGAAAGCTTTCACTCTAAAATTAGGAGCAAGACAAAGATGTCCACTATCACCACCCTATTCAATACAGTTCTGGAAATATTAGCCAGAGCAATTAAACAAGAGAGAGAAATAAAAGGAACAAAGATAGGAAAGGAAAAAGTTAATTATCACTATTTGAAGATGACACAATACTCTAAATAGAAGATCCTAAAAATTCCATCAAAAGACTACGAGAGTTAGTAAGCAAATTCAACAGAGAGCTGGATACAAGGTCAACACTCAAAAATCAATAGAATTCTTGTGCACAAACAACAAACTCACTGAGAGAGAAATTATGGATTTTTGAGTGTTGATCTTGTATCCAGCTTTCACAATAGCATGCCAAAAATGCAATGCTTAGGAATCAACCTAACAAAGGATGTAAAAGATATAGCTGAAAACTATAGTACTCTTAAAAAGGAGACTGAAGAAGATGTCAGAAAGTGGAAAGATATCTCTTGCTCTTGGTTAGGAAGAATTAACACTGAAAATGGCCATACTCCCAAACTTTCATACAGATTTAATGAAATCTTGATCAAAATACCAGTAACATACTATATACATCTAGAGCAAACATTCCTAAAGTTCATTTGGAAACAGAAGAGACCTAGAATAGCAAAGACAATCCTGAGCAACAGAGGCAAAGCAGGAGGCATCTTAATCTCTGACTTGAAATTATACTACAAAACTACTGTGACAAAAGTCAGCATGGTACTGGCAAAAAAAAAAAAAAAAACAGACCTGAGAATCAATGGAATAGATTAGAAGATGCAAACACAACTACAGACACTCAGCCACCTTGGATTTGACAAAGGGGCTAAACATGTTCACTGAGAGAATGATAGCCTCTTCAATACATGGCCTTGGAAAAATCAGCTTTCCACATGCTGAAAACTGAAACTAGATCCATGTCTATCACCATGCACTAAAGTAAAGTCAAAATGGATCAAAGACCTAAATATTAAAATAGAAACACTAACTCTACTGGAAGACAAGATAGAGAGAAATCTTGAATACATAGGGGTAGGCAAAGAGTTCATGAACAAAATGCAAACTGCATGGGAAGTACTTTAAAGAATCAACAACCGGGACTTCATTTATCAAAAAGTTTTTGCACTTCAAAAGGAATCACCAACAGAGTGAAAAGAAAACCCACAGAATGGGAAAGAATTTTATCCAGCTGTCCCTCAGACAAAGAACTTACTTATACATAAAACATATAAAAAGTTGAAAAACATCAGGCTCCCCAAACTCAAAGACCCCATCCAAAACTGGGCATCTGAGATAAACATGCACTTCTCAGATGATGAAATACAAATGGCAAATAAATCCACGAAGAAATGTTTACCATTACTGGTCATTTGAGAAATGCAAATTAAAACATTAAGATTGCATTACACTCACGAAGTAATGGCTACCATCAAGAAATCAACCAACAACACATGTTGGTGGGGCTGTGGGGAAAAAGGAACTCTCCTCCACTGTTGATGGGAATGTAGACTGGTCTGGCCACTGTGGAAATCAGTATAGAGATTCCTCAAAAAACTAGGATTGGAAGTCCCATTCCATCCAGCTATTCCCCTTTCCCCAGAAAAATAGAAAATGTCCTGATGTGCACCCATGTTTATAGCAGCACAATTTGTAATAGCTAAATCTTGTAAACAACTCAAATGTCCATCAACTGCAGAACTGATAAAAAAGATGTGGTATTTTTATACAGTGGAATATCACTCAGATACAAAAAAGGTTGATCTTGAGGCTTTTATAGGTAAATGAGGCAACTTGAGACTATCTCCATAAGTGAAATAAATCAGACTCATACTTGTAAAAATTGTATTGTCTCTCTAGTATAAAAAAATAATAACCTAAAAGAATAATAAGATCCAAAATATACAATAGTTATTATAATAATGAAAGAAGAA